CTTTACTGAAAGGGTTATCCAGCATTGGAATGGGCTGCCCAGGGAGGTGGCGGTGTCACCATCCCTGGAGGTATTTCAGAAACGTGTAGACGTGGTTCTTCAGGGCATGCTCTCGTGCCCAAGATTACTGGTTTGTGGTGGGGTGCTGTGTGGGTGGGTGATGGTTTTTGGTTTGGTGGTTGTTGTTGTGTTTTTAGGTGGTGGTTTGTGGTTTTTGGTTTTGTTGTTTTTTTTTTTTTTTTTTTTTTGTTGGTTGGACTCGATGATCTCTGAGGTCCCTTCCAACCACTACGATTCTGTGTGATTCTGTGTATTTCTCTTATAGGTGTGGATTACAATGTGAAGACCATCACAGTAGATAATACCCAGGTAGCCCTGCAACTCTGGGACACTGCTGGCCAGGAACGGTGAGAAACATTCTGGTTTGGTTTAAACACAGTAGTCAGCTAAGCACCACGCAGCTGCTTGCTCACTCCCCTGTCCCCAGTGGGATGGAGGGAGAGAGAATCAGCAGGTGAAAGTGAGAAAACTCACTGTTGAAATAAAGATAGCTTATTATAATTTAAAAAAAACAAACCAAAAACCAAACCACAAAACCCACCACCACCAAAAACCCCTCCAGTTGCTCACCACCAGTTAATTGATGCCCAGCCAGTCCCTGAGGAGTTGCTGCCTTCTCCAACCTCTCTCACCCCTGCACTTTTATTGCTGAGCACAACATCATATGGTATGTAATACCCTTTTAGCTGAGCACAACATCATATGGTATGTAATACCCCTTTAGTGAGTTGGGGCCAGCTGTCCCAGCTGTGTCACCTCCCAACTTCTTGTGCACCCCTGAGTACTCACTGGGAGAGCAGTCCAAGAAGCAGAAAATGCCTTGATGCTGTGTACACACTGCTAAGCAGTAGCTAAATTGGTGTGTTACCAACACTGTTTTCATCACAATTCCAGAACGTAGCCCCTGTACAACCTAGTAAAATTAAATTTAACTCTATGCCTGTCAAAACCAGTACACATTCTAAGGTTTTGTTCCTTGAATCATCTGTTTGAAGATGAGTGAGCATGGACCTAATCATGCTTCTTGGGAGAGGAACAAATCTAGGAGTATTCCTAATACAGCTGGGGAATTCACAGTTTAGATCTTTGCCTAGCAGGAATAATGTGCTGATTTGGTGCTAAGTGTCCACTGAAAAACTGCCAATCTGTAAAAGAGATTCTTATTAAAGCTCTTAAAAGGCACGCAGTATCTTTAGGAAGAAGGCTGATTTTAAAATGTACCTAGAATTGTTTCTATAGCAGAAAATACCTTAATAGTTTAAAAAGTTAAAAAAAATAAGGTGGTTTTTTTTTTCACCAAAACGATCCCATTGTAATTAGAGATCACCAAGTTTTTGTAAGTTTTCAGTGGCAATTTCCTTCCCCATTGCCTCACCTATTGTGTAGTTTTATATTACTAGAAGCAAGGATGATTATAATGATCTGTTTTCTACAAGAAGCTTGGGAAAAAAGCCTCAAACAGAAATCTAGCTAGATCTAGGCAAAATAATTAGTCAGGGGGAAATTTCTGCTCCAAGTTTAAAATTAAAGAGGATGGGAGAAGGTGAGATATGCAGCTGATAATCCAGACTAACCCAGAATCAATTAAAGAAGGCAGAGGGAAACTTTTCCAAACACTTTCTTTCAAAAAACATTTTTTTGCAAAGAATTTATTTGCTGTTGCAGAAATTTGTGATAGTAGTGTATTCTGTGACTTTTGCTGAATGTGAAAAGGGGTCTGATGATTCAGGAGCAATGGGATTGCTTACTACAGTTCATAATAAGCCTCACCTTTCAAATGGGATCTGCAGTGAAGATCAGTGTTACAGCTTCTCCCTTGTCTATTTTATGGAATTTTAGAAAAGATATATATATATAAAGCAAATTAACAGGGGTTTAATCTTTACTAAGACTCGATGATTAAAAGAAACCCTTTGGCAACATCTTCCTCTGTGGGGGCGGCAGGAGGAAACTACTGTAAGATTTTACTTATATTGTCAGATTGCTGCTGCTGTTGAAGAGAGCTATAAACATGTTCTTACTTGTAGGTACCGAAGTATTACCAAGCAGTTTTTCAGAAAAGCTGATGGTGTAATTGTCATGTATGATATAACAGCAAAAGACACATTCACAGCTGTCAAGCAGTGGCTGATAAGCATCGAGGTAATATGACATAACTTTAAATCTGAACTCTGGTGTCGTTATTTTCTACCTTCTTCTGGACAGGGAGTGTTAGAAGTGCAGACAGCAGCATGTTTCTTGTCGCAATTACACTTCTGTTTGTGATTTTGGTCTGCAGTTACCAGTAAAGCTGTTTTTAGAATCTCTGTACCTATGAAAATAATCACAGTTCCAGGGTTTTAAGGACTTAAAATGAGTGGTGGGAAAGCCCAGCATGGAGTCCTCTGATTTCTTATAAAGATTATCTAGCTCATTGGATCACCACTAGCACTGGGATCAGTGATGATGGTCTGATGATGTGTTCTAGTATAATATACGCTGTTTTACCTAGTGGCCAAGAGGTGACTTTGCAAGTCTTATTAAATATAAGATCTTATTAAATATAAGATCTTAACAAATCAGTGATTGTTTTAATTGAGTATGGGAAAAGTGGAGAATTCCGGATAACAATCCAGAAAAATAAAATATTGTGGTCAAAGTCTTTTTCCTAATTGTAATAGTTCACTCATCTTTACTGACTAATTTTGTTTACTACAAACTATTGCTAAGTTGAAGACAGAAGGTCAAGTCCATTTACTGCTGCAGCATTCAGCCTACTTTTTGGAACAAATTTTGTTTCGTGCCTGTTTTTGGGGCCTATTCTTTGTATCTCTCCACTACTTTATGTAATTTGTCTGGCATAATTGTACCCAGATGTTGTAATTATTTTCCTGTCCATATAATTAGAAAAGCAATGGCTATAAACACGCAATGTAAGAGCCTGTGTATTCTCTCTTCCATTTTAATATTGAGTATGAAGAAATTCTGTGCTTTTATTAAATGCCAAGTTAGTGCAATCTCTAGCATTCTGTCTTTTTCATGTCTTTTATCCAACTTTAATTCCTGACATGTTTGTAAGTAAAGTGGCACGTATCTGGCTCATATGTGATGTCTTAAATGTCTTGTAGTGTAACATTTGTTAGTTTTTATCCTCTTGATCTGTGATTTTTTAAATGCAGTGCCTTGGTTGATATTCATTCTTTGTTCTGCAGGAGACAGCTGGGGAGAATGTACCTGTGCTTTTGTTGGGGAATAAAACTGATAACGAGAAGGAACGGGAGGTCCCTATGGGAATGGGAGAGCATCTTGCTAAGGTACTATACTTAGAGGGAAACCCTTCACAAAACTTGAAAGTGAAGGGTTTAAAATGGAGTCTGAGTGTGTCTAAATTCATAGAAACACGGATTAATTTTAATCAGACAAGTATTTTTAAGGATTAGGAACCCCGATGCACTCATCAGTTCAGCTCTTAGTGATGCAAGTGCTGATAATTACAGTAGTTATAAAACTGTCTAGATGAAAATAAAACCAAAAAGTGAGTGGTGTAAAAAATATTTGAAAATTCACTCTCATTGTCTCTCTCTCTCCCCTCTTTCTCTTTTTCTTTGTTCTCTCTTTCTCTCTATTTTTTCCTCCCTCCTCCTCTCTCTTTTTTCTTTCTTGTCTCTGTGGATGAGCTCTTAACAGAAATAATTTGGAGATCTTTTCCCCCTCCTACCTCTTGTAAAACCACAGAAGACCATCTGTTACTCCTATGATAGGAGTAGAAAACATGTTTACTTTTAGTAACTTTCTATCAAGGAGATAAAATAAATAGAGTTAACAGTCTGCATCTACCAGAGCACTGGTGATCCATGGGCCATAATTTAAGCATTAAGGGTCTACAAATAGACACTTCTTTATATTCTTGTGTACCATCCCCAGAATTTTTAATTTTGAATCTCTCTATACAACGCATATAGTTTGAACACCAATGCCTCCAGAATATTCATTTGTTTTGAAATAAGTCATCCCAATATTCCTGAGAAATTAACTGAGTTGGTAGGAATTTACCTAAATTAAACAACGTGCTGGGTTTCATGTATGTACTTGCTTCTCCTTTGAAAATAGATTTGCAGCTCTGCTTGCTGGTAACAAAAAAGCATATTTTCAAAATTTGAAATGCATCTGAATTGTTCTTGGTTTATAGGAAAGATTGCTGCTAGAGTTAGGGCCAGATCTCTTTTTATCTTGATTATTCATATAGCCTTTTACAAACATACCTCTCTATTCAGGTTTGTGTCCATTACTTTGTTTTTGCAGGAGAGCAATATCAGTTTTTGGACTTTCCTTTTAGAAATTTGCTTTGTTTTCTTGTATGCACGGAAATGCAGATAGTTTTGAGACCCGGGAGGAGGGACTCCAGGGTGTAACACTGAATCCTCCTGTGAAAAAACAAATGATGCATAAATGCTAAATGGACAGAGTAGGTGTCTTAGGTGTCATTTAGCTCTCTTAAAAAATTGTACTACTAAAACAAAGATGAGTCATTCTAATATATAGAACTCACAGCCCACCAGGCCATTAGTCCTAACGTGTCATGCAAGAAAATAAGATATTTTGCATAAGTAAAACAAAGAAAGTTGTCAAATCAAAGATGGTTACAGTCAAATGAATGGATCTGAGTGACTCATTTGAATGTTTGAGAGTGCTGCCTGAGGTAGCTAAGGGAAAGAATGATTAATGACAATGGATTAGTTGAAAAGCCCCATAGATATAATTGAATTATAACAATTTGCTTGCTGAGCTAATAATAATCATGAATTTTAATGAAATATTAATTCTTGCTAAATAGCCATGTTATTCCTATGAAACCACATACCACTGTCACTATTAATGAATGCAATTGAATCACTCATTTTGTGAATAATGCCATGAATTATTCACAAATGACCCAAAATACATGGGACTAGATGCTGATCTGATTCAAATAGGTATAGCCATATTTGGTGAAAACAGCTCTGAACCTGTGCTCCTGCAGACAACAAACCAGATTAGCTTGTTGACCCTGAAGTCCAACAGCTTTTATGGACTGTTGCAAGGTTTCATGGCATGGGGTTGGTTTTTCCTAGTTTTTTGTATAGTTAGGACGGAAAGTGCACTTTCAGAGGGTGTTCCAGCCCAGCTATATTAACTCTTGCTTTGTTTCGGTCCCAAATCTTACAAGTCAGCATACTACAAATTTGGTCAGAAACCCAAGGGCTCCCATTATAATGCACGTGACACGTAACTTCTTTGCAAGGCAGGCAGCAGCACACTTCATTAATAAAAGGAAGAATGACAGCCCGAAGGGAGCCCTTTCAATTACTTGTCATTTTAGAAGACTGGTAGTTGCAGTGTGTGGGGGGATACCTGGGGAAAGGGGGCATAGAATGTGGATAATGATTCTGGAAGGCATCATAAGGAGCAACAAGGCTGTGATGAAACTGTTGAATGAATTAAAGAGTAAATATCATGATGGTAAGGAGAATTCTGCAGTATTGACTTTGCAGGGAGAAACAGCGGATGCAAAACAAGATGTTCACATGCAGTACAAGAATGACCTGGTAGAAAATATCTAAAACTCTCTTGATAGAGCTACTGAGAATATAAAGAAAAAGAGAGAGAAAGAAAATAGAGAAGAAAATGAAAGAAAATAAAAAGGAGTCCATTTGACTTTTTTTTTTAAAGGATCCAGAAGAAAAACTTCATTTAGCAAATTTCTGTTCAGCTTAGCTTGATCCACTGATCGAGAGTTCATATGAGCACAATATGGAGAGTATTCAGATCATATTGTCAGCATCCAGGAGCAGCAGATGTTCTGTTTGAGTGAATTAGTGTAACCACTGCCAATTATTTAAATAAAATAGCTTATGACATAAGGTGCTGCTCAGGCATTCAGGCAGCATGATTTTATTTTCGTCCTGCACAGACTTCCTGAATGATCTTAAATGGTCAATAAATCCATTATTTCTGTTCCTCCACTCTAAAATAAGATAATAATACCTTTGCCTGCCTTGACTTTGCAGACTATATAGGCTTCATGGGATGAGGACTGTTACTGTGTGTTCAATCAGTGTCTCCTTTATCAACCTGTCACTGCCATTGTTATACAAATGCTGCTAATGAGGGAGCTGTTCGAGCTATTCTTCTCAGAGTGATACTGCTTTACAGGACAGAAAGTACCCAGCTCCCTCTGGTAATCATATTTCCTTCCCTGTTCTTTAGATGTCTGCTGATTTGTATGTAACTTCTTAAAATGAAGTAATTGCCAGTGGTATTCAGGTTCAATAGCTAATTCCTGGATGGAGACGGGTGGCATTTCTTGGCTTATTATATGTGTCCTGCCTTCTGCTACTTTGTTCTCATTGTGTATTCTACCAATTAAATTTTCCTCCCTGATTCAAAGGAATGACACTTTGTATTTCCAGGCTAACTCATCCTCCAGAGAAGGAGCTGTTTGCCAGACTGACAGAAATAACTAATTAATATCAATGGAGTTTAAATTGTTATATTTCACCAATAAGAATTTGTCCTATCCCTGGAATTTGTTGAAAAATCCATTCAGATTCGTGCCAGTGTAAATGATGTCATCACTGAAAGTTCACCTCTAGTGAAATACTGTTGTATGTGGAGAAGATTTAGGAGTAGTATCACTCTTTGCTTGACTGATATAAAATAACTACATACTGATCATAGTAGGTTTTCTATTAGAGTTCTGATCAGCTGAGTAGAAAAAAGGGGTGTGAGTTTTATTTCAGACTTCTGTGTGCATATCTAGTGAGAAATTTGAGCTGGGCAAAATTTATCTTAAAACTTTTCTAAGGAAAGTAAGGGTATCATAGGGTGACATAATTGTAAATATTAACCAGAACACTTTAAAAAAAAAAAAATTCAATAAAATATCCATCCGACAGTAACTGATTTCTTCCCTTCTCTGCTCTTCTGTGCTTATCTGGCCACCCAGAAGCTACTAGAAGTGGTTCAATCCCAATGTTCACTAGAACAAAGCATATAACCAACATATGCAAACCTGGCATTTGATAATATTGAAGTATTTTTTTAGACCTGCTAAAATAAACTACCATATTTATGAAACTTCTTTTCTCCAATTTTTGTCTTTCAAATTTCATGAAGATGATAGAAATTTTAAAAAGCTGTGCAATTTTGGAAGCAGAGTATATTTAAAAAAAACCCGAAACAAAAGTAAAAACCAAAACAAAAAACAAACCCAAACCAAAACTGAAATACCTGGTCGTTTTTAGTACTTTTAAAGTACAAACTCAGTAACCACAGTTAATAGCAAACAAATTGAAAATATGCAGACACGTGATTGTAATGTCCTAAGATACTGACTGACTTGAATTTTAAGCTACTGTCATGAATAGCAGTAAGACACTGCTATTGAAAAGTGGAAAGTGAACAGAAAGTTGAAATCTGGATGGGTAAAAGGGCAAGTGGTAGTACCACAGAAGCAATGTAGGTGAGCTTCAATGTAGTATCTTGTGAAAGTAGTCAGATGTCTATTTTGGAGAAGATAGTCTGTCATTCCCTCTCAAACTTCTTTTGCCATCATAGCTGCCAGGTCAGGCTTTTTTGCAGATGCTCTCTTGCATTTATTGTGATAAGGCTTCAGCTGAAGTGCTGACTATGTCTCCAGGACTTGGTCATTTCTCCATCATTCTTAATTGCAAAGCTCCCAGGGGCTACAAAACCAAACAAGGTGCAGACTGACTGCAGAAGAAGATGCAGAAAAATTTCACAAGTACAAAAAATGAAATAGAATTACATTGTTGTTGTTTTTTACTGAGGCTTTTAACTGCTTCATTTGCTGGAAAACACTGGTCTCAAACTGTTGAGTACAGAAACACTGCTGCTGAAGCTTTCCAAGGTCTTAAAAAAAAAAAGTCACTGGAATTATTTCCACCTGCTTTCTGAAGAACTTAGTGATGTAGTAATTGCCCCATCACAAGGAAAGTTCAGAAGACTTCAGTAACTTATAAGACATGTTTGCATTTAAGCCTTTGAGAGGTCAAGTTCTTCTAGCAAAAGTCGTCGTATAGAACAAATGCCTGTTAAGAAAGACATATAGTTGTTGTTTTGGAAGTGCACTTGGACTTCTTTCTTCTGTTGCTTTTTACTGTTAGCTCTAGAATCAAATCCTAATTTTTCTTAAGAGGTTCTATTTCTTTATTTGCATATTTCAGTGTATCTGTGTTGCTTTTTTAAAGCTGGAATGAGATATTGTGTGAAATTAATTGAAAATGTCTTTCTGTTTGATTCTAGGATTACAATTTGATTTTCTATGAATGCAGTGCATATTCTGGCTACAATATCGAAAAGCCCCTGAATCACTTAGCTAGGTAAGAAGAAAACATAATCTATGCATTCTATATGTGCCTGACCTCCCTGTCACTGATGACAGATCACTTAGCTAGGTAAGAAGAAAACATAATCTATATATTCTATATGTGCCTGACTTCCCTGTCACTGATGACAGTGGATTCTGTTTGTTAAATTAGTTTGGTAGGAACTTACCATCATGAAATATTTGGTCCTTTTAAACTTGTCTGTAGCTTGACCCTGTTGCTCCAACTGAGCAGTTGCTCAGGTTTGTAGATTCCTGTGTAAGCTAGTAAAGCTCTGTATAGACCCAGAAACTCCTGAACTTCTGCTAGGAAAGCTGAGGCCCTGGGATGCTGTGATAGTTCTTGCAGGAAGTTCTTGGAGGTTTGGAGAAATACGTTTGGAAATGGATGCTGCTGAGTCCTTGCAGCAGAATGTTGGATCTGCTTCTTTTTTTATTCCCTTTGCTCATTACAGCTCAAATTCTGCTGCTTACCTGGGGGCTTCAAGAGAGGGAGAGTTGGATTTTTTTTTTTAAGTTATATAAAGGCTAGGGGTAAAAATACAGATAAATCCGTCCCCTCTGAACTACTTAGCAGAGGTGGAAACACTGGTAATGAATTTTCAGATATTGTTGCTATAGTTAGTGAGATTTTGTGAATTTTAGCTGTTTGATAAATGTGTAGGTAGCAAGATGTGATTTTGTTTTTCTCTAGCCCCAAAAATATCAAGTGGAGGTTGCTGTTTTGAGTCTCTGTAATAAATGCTAACAATTGGCACCAACTACATTTTCCTAACTGCATGAACAAAGGTGGTTTTGTGATGGAGCCACCATAATTGTACTTTTTTTGTTGTTCATAAAATTCTGTCATTTTCTCTTAATCTCTGGACAATTTTACAAGCATTGGGGAAATGTTTTTTGTCTGATGGGTGTTACTGACTTTTTCACTCAAAAATATTGTTTCTTTCTCCAGGATTTTAAAGGAACATGAAGATAAAGTGAAAGAGAAAACCATTGAACTTCAATCTGATATGAAGAAAAAGTCTTGCTGTGTCAGGACGTAAAATGCTGGGGCATGTTTAGACAAATGTCATACATTTATACGACACTACACGGCACCATCACATTTACATTGTCTTCCAAATTTTTCTTCTGCTGTATTCTGCGTATGGGTGTAAGTGAACCTTAAAATCCTTGTATGCTCTGATCTTCACTTTTACAAATATTGTCTTTAGTTAATTGACAATATTTGGCACAATAGCAGTCTTTTATTCGGGTTGATGCCTAACACCACTGAATCCTGCTTTGTGATCAGCCTTGCAGAACCTGCCACATAATTAGTAATAAATAATTTTATATGAAGAAAACTACTTGGAATGTGAAGTAAATTCTTACTGGTGTGGATGACCTATCTTCTAATTACATCTGTTTATCTCAGTGCTCTTTAGATCCTGATTTGGTACTGAACTTTGCGACAGTTTTTTAAAAAATTGAAATAGGTAGCTGGTAGGTTGTTTAAAAGCAACAGACCAGCAATCGCAAGGTATAAGGTGATATTTTAAAACTTAGTGTGAAATATATGTGAACAAAAGATTGAAGAACTATAAAGATTTTTATAAGTAGCATTAACTCATTTATACTAGACATCGTTGCATACAGGTCCTTGATAAGAAACCCTTTCTCCCACTTAGATGTGATGAATTAGGTATGATTAGACAGGTCACTGAGATGCCATACACAGTTGCTGAGCTGCTGACAATTAAGCTGGCACGTTTCCATGATGAGGTGGTTCTATGCAAATATCTGCAAGGAACTGACTGGACTTAAAGATTTGAGGTCAACAGCTCAATGTCCAAGTGGCAACCAGTGATGAGTGGCATTCCTCAAGGGTCGGTACCAGGACCAGTGCTGTTTAACATCTTTGCTGGCAACATGAACAGTAGGAGTGAGCAGGTTTGCCAACAACACCAAGCTGTGTGGAGCGGTCGAATGGAGGGGAAGGAATGCCAAGGGACCTGGACAGGCTTGAGAGGTGGGCCCATGTGAACCCTATGAAGTTCAACAAAGCCAAGTGCAAGGTCCTGTGCATGGGTTGGGGCAATCCCAAGCACAGATACAGCTTGGGTGGAGAATGGATTTAGAGCAGCCCTGCAGAAAAGGACATGGGGGTGTTATGAGAAGCTCAACGTGAGCCAGCAATGTGTGCTGGCAGCCCAGAAAGCCAAATGCATCCTGGGCTGCATCAAAAGAAGAGTGGCCAACAGGTTGAGGGAGGGGATTCTGCCCCTCCACTCACTCTCTTGAGACCTCACCTGGAATACTGCTTCCAGCTCTGAGGCCCCCAACCTAAGAAGCAGTGAGTCCAGAGAAGGGCCATGAAGATGATCAGAGGGCTGGAGCACCTCTCCTATGAACACAGGCTGATAGAGTTGGAGTTGTTCAGCCTGGAGAAAAGAAGGCTCTAGGGAGACCTTTTAGCAGCCTTCCAGTACTTAAAGGGACAGCTGGAGAGGGACTCTTTGTCAGGGTGTGTAGTGATAGGACAAAAGGTAATGGTTTTAAACTGAAAGAAGGGAGATTTAGATTAGATATCAGAAATTCTTTCCTGCGAGGGTGGTGAGACACTGGAACAGGTTGCCCAGAGAAGTTGTGGCTGCCCCATCCCTGAAGGTGTTCAGGGCCAGGCTGGACGGGGATTTGAGCAGTGTAGTCTAGTAGAAGGTGTCTCTGCCCATTGTGTAGGGGAAAGGCCAGGCTGGATGGGGCTTTGAGCAGTGTAGTCTAGTGGAAGGTGTCTCTGCCCATTGTGTTGGGGAGGGGTTGGATCTAGATGATCTTTAAAGTCCCTTCCAACTCCAACCATTCTATGATCTAGCTTAGTTTTCAGAAACAGGAGAGTCATGGGTATGCAGTACTTTGGCTAGTTAGTATTTCACTCAGTACAAATCATCCTTTGCTCTTCACCATATTTGACGTAGCTGTATTGCTTCATGTTGCAGAGCTTGCTCTGGACCTCTGCTTGGCTATGGTGTCCCTGTAGAAGTCCCCAAGCCATCTGTGGCCAACTTGAACATTAAAATTAATTCACTGTCACTAGTGCTGTTGGAAAACGCATACCTACATGGGAAGTGCATTTCACTGGTGTAGTTGGTTGTAGTACAGAGCATACTGAGGACCAACTGAACAGCCAACAGTCTTTCACAGAAGGTTTCATGTCAGATGTTGGAGGCAGAATTTTCAGAAATAGTAGATCTTCTGAGGAATATTTTAAGAAACTTTCCAACATTTAAGGAGTCAAAAATATCACCAAAATCCAGTGAGATATCACCATCTTTAGCAATGTTAAGAAAAATTTCTTCCTCAAGTACCTAAATATGTGACTGATTTTTTTCAAAAGCAGCTGCTACACAGCATTTCCATTTGGTTTAACCAGGGCCTGATAGGACTGAGACAGTGTTTGAGAAACTGAACCCATAGGGACATGTTTTAGAAAATCATGGCCTACCCTGGATCATTTTTGGTTTTGGTTTTGGGTTTTTTTTTGGGGGGGGGGTTTTTTTGTTTTTGTTTTTGTGGTTGGACTCAATGATCTCAGAGGTCCCTTCCAACCACTAAGATTCTGTGATTCTGTGATAAGAAACTCAAATGTCATAATTACTTTTTGGAGCCTTTGTAGAATATAAATGAAAATAAGAAACTTGAGAGTGGGTCGCCCAGCCAGCACATGATCAACAATTATTCTTCGTGGTATTTTTCTTCACTGCATCCATCTATTGAGGTAAGCATTCAAGAATGATTGTTCATGATGGTGAACTTGTTGGGAAAATGGAAACCATGGTATAATGTATTTCATTAAAATATCAAGTGAACCCTAAATTTTATTACATGAGACAGACATTATGTTTTCAATCAATTTTCTAAATCTTCTATATGTTTCAAAAAAGGTATTTTTCATTTCAATAATAAATCAATTTGAAACTAAAGATGAAAGTTAAGCACTAGCTTTATAAGTAACTCTATTTTGGGATGAAAACTTCATCAGTAATTAATTGTACTCTTGGAATTTCACTCTGATCAAAAGTATTTATCTAGTCCCAAGAACTAGATAGAGATTTGCAAATTTTCTCTTATAGCAATTCTTATATCCATACCAGCACTCAAATGCCCTTTCCTATGAGCTGGGACCCTTTCCCTATCAAGTGGAATAACCAGGATTTTCCTTCTTAGTCCTTCCAGACTAAATAGTCCAGGATGAGCTGACATTTAGGGGTTTTTCTCTTGTTGATTCCTGAGAGTCTGCTCATCCAAATGAAAAAAAAAAAACTAAACACCTCCCCTTGATTCCAGTGAGGTGCTTAACCCCCAGAACCCAAAAGGAGTGCAATTATCATCCATTAATGAAAATCAGTAGGCTTTCTGTTCACTTCCCAGGGTTGATTCTTGAAGTCCGTTACTGGTTGTGGAGGGATGAGTCACCTTGTCAACTGTTACATGTTATCCATCATGGAAATCTTCTCAGAAATGCATCAGCTGTGTTCAGTCCTGCCTGGAGTTGAACTAATGCAAACCCCTAATTTAAACCTCAGCAAAACCAACTGTTTATCCCAATTTCAATTCGGGAAGAAGTGTCATCAGTTGAAATACTGGCTTTGCTAATCGACTCTGAAGCAAAACCAACTGTTTATCCCAATTTCAATTTGGGAAGAAGTGTCATCAGTTGAAATATTGGCTTTGCTAATCAACTCTGATCTATTCCCACACAGTAGGGTGTTTCCTACCCCATCCATATCACAACTGGCAGTATTTCTTCCAACCTCTCTCAGTCTCAGAAAGACAGTTTGAAGGCTTAATTTCAGCTTTACTGCCAGTGATTCTAGCCCCACTAAACTCCAAATTCAGATCCTTAATTTTTTTGTTCCCTGAAGTTCTTCTTGATTTTGGAGGAAGGTGACATGGGAGGGGGATCTTCTTGATGTGATTTCTACAGGATCCTTTTTCATTTGAGCATCTTTTAGCGTGCGCTGAGATTCTAGCAGAATATACACAACTTGAGGGTAGACAATGCTAAGGAGCAGCTGAACGCTGGGATGAAGGAGATTTCTTTCTCTTTGTCTAGTGGAGCTAAATCTGGTGAGGTCTAAGACCCAGGAGGTGTCTCCCATCTCAGACTCAGAGCTGTGGCAGCTGCTGTTCTTTTCTGCAAGTCCAGCCAAAGCCGTAGCTGAGTACAAAGGTGCAGATACACACACAACACTAGTGCCATCAGCCACACAGACAACACAGAGAGCAGCGTCTTCAACTCCTTGTCACCCATATACACACAGAAAGTATTCCCATAAATATGGGAACAATTAGCCCAATCCTTCTCTGCCTTTCCAGCTGACCAAGATTGAATTTTGCTGATGAAAACATACACGTACACGACTTGTATGACTTGCAGTGCTCTCTCTCCCCCTCTGCCCTCCCTCTCTCCCCAGGATCATGCAGAAACAAGATTTAAGAAAAAGGACTGGATAGCCTGCAGTTCCGAGGTACAGGGCTCAGTCAGAGAAACTCTGACCAGCAGTTTGCTTGCATACAACTGGCCCCTTTTATTCTACCTTCTCTTGATTTTTTTTTTTCTCCATGATTGTTCTTCCTCCAACCACCTTGACCCCTCCATTTCTCTGCCCTTCATATCCCAAAGAAACAACTTGCCCCTAGTTGCTTTTTCCCCGTTAGTTCCAGTTTTGCTACATCTGTGGCCACACACATTTTATATTTACCATTACCTAGGTCACCTTGACCTTACATCGTATTCTTGATATAATTACTTAGGTGCTGCTGGCCTTGCAAGTTTCCACTCCAAAAAAAGTCCCTACTATTCCCTTCCAATTATCTGTGAAGTTAGTCATGAAGTTAGGCATTAATTTATCGTATAACTCCCCGATAACCACCTGTGAAGTCAAGCCATTGCTCACAGTGCTATCTGTAGTATTATCAGCTGCTCACGCTTTTATTTGTTAGGTGCAGAGTTTCTCAAGGTCTGTTTGGTTAGCTCAACTTCGGGCCAGGTCCTGGTCATCTGCCTACACACCTTAACGAGCAGCAATTGTTTGCTGAGTGATGTTCACAGAAGAGAGATGTGACTAATGTGCTACAAGGATCTACTTGTGGACAGATTCTGCTGGCCACGTGGTCATCAAACTGGTGTGGGAATTGGCAACTTCCAGTTTTCCTTGATGCTATAACTAATCCTTTGTGGTACTGGGTTTCTATCTTCTGAGTCTCCACCAGGGTTTCATACCTGTTGTCAATATTTTTCTCAGTTCCTTCAGAAAACTGGTAGTGGCTTAATAGCAATAAAGCTTTCTCTTTCTCCTCCTTCCTCCTCCTCCTTCCTCCTCCTCCTCCTCCTCCTTCTCCTTTTTTTTTGGTTTCTTTTTTTCCTCTTTTTTTCCCCAGTTTTGAATTACCTTTAGCTTGCTCACAGCTCCCCCTCTCTCTCCCAAAAGCTTTTCAGGAAAGATAAGCCAAGATCATAGTGCAGCTGTGCATCATGAAACTGGACTCTGGGTCATGAAGTCTTGTCTTGTGGGTTATGTAGAGATTTTTGGAGGTGTAGATGGTGCCTTTTTACTGAAAGAGAAATTAATCAAAAGGTAGTAGGCAGGGGAATACCGAGCAGAAGTTATTTCAGCTATGCCTGTTATGCTCTAAGAGCACAAAATCATCATCATTTAGAAGTGACTAAAATGCTGATACAGAAATCTTTGAATACAAGTATTTGCAATGCTTCGGAACATTTTAGCTACAGAGCATTTTAGCTACAGATGTTGTTTTGTTTCTTCTGTCAGACTCTTCCTAATTGTCTTTGGACAAAATTTATAGGCAGTGTAAGTTTGGTGACTGCATTATCTTCTTTTAGGGATGTATATTACTCTTGAACATTTCCCTTAATAGAATTAAAAGTACTAACAGTTGTGAATGAGAAATTCTGCTGAAAAATTGCTTCTTACACTCAGCAGACTTCATCCTTCTCTCAGGATCACTGATGTAACTCCTTGCCCTGGCTTCAGGTAAAATAGAACTGATTTTCTGTTCGATAAGTTTAATTTGCAGTTAAGTTAATGGGCAAGTACATATGGACTAATCTGAAATATTGTACGTAGTGACACTGATTCCTTCCAAATGTGCTGGAATCACAGAGTCACAGAATGGTAGGGGTTGGAAGGGACCTTCGGAGATCATCTAGTCCAATCCCCCTGCCAAAGCAGGTTCACCTAGAGCAGACTGGACAGGAGCACATCCAGGTGGGTTTTGAATATCTCCAGAGAAGGAGACTCCTCTCTGGGCACCTGGCTCCACTGCTCTGTCACCCTCAATGTAAAGATTTTTTTCTGCATGGTCAGATGGAACTTCCTGTGTTCCAGCTTGTGTCTGTTACCCCTTGGCCTATCACCACTAAGAAGAGCCTGACCCCATCCTCTTGACACCCACCCTTTATATATTTATAAGCATTGATGAGGTCCCCTCTCAGTCTTCGTTAAACACACCCAGGTCTCTCAGCCTTTCCTCCTAAGAGAGGTGCTCCAGTCCCTTGATCATTTTCGTAGCCCTCCACTGGACTCTTTCAGGTAGTTCCCTGTCCTTCTTGAACTGGGGGGGTCCAGAACTGGACCCAGTGCTCCAGATGAGGTCTCCCCAGGATAGAGTAGAGGGAAAGGATGACCTCCATCGACCTGCTGGCCATGCTCTTTTTAATACAGCCCAGGAGATCTTCTGGGCCAGGAGGTCTTCTTGGCCACAAAGGCACATTGCTGGCTCATGGTCAACTTGTCCACCAGGACTCCCAGGTCTCTCTCTACGGAGCTGCTTTCCAACCTCTAACCTGTCCTGGTGCAGGGGGTTATTCCTCCCCAGGTGCAAGACCCTACACTTGCCCTTGTTGAATTTCATCAGGTTCCTCTCTGCCCAACTCTCCAGCCTGTCCAGGTCTCACTCTATGGTGGCACAGCCTTTTGGGGTGTCAGCCACCCCTCCCAGTTCTGTATCATCAGCAAACTTGCTGAGGGTACACTGTTGCCTCATTCAGGTCGTTGATGAATATGTTGAACGAGCCAGGTCAATACCTGACCCCTGGGGAACGCTGCTAGTTACAACCCTCCAACTGGACTCAGTGCCACTGATCACAACTCTCTGATATCATCAGCAAACTTGCTGAGGGTACACTGTTGCCTCATTCAGGTCGTTGATGAATATGTTGAACGAGCCAGGTCAATACCTGACCCCTGGGGAACGCTGCTAGTTACAACCCTCCAACTGGACTCAGTGCCACTGATCACAACTCTCTGATCTCTGCCATTCAGCCAGTTCTCAACCCACCTCACTGTCCACTCATCTAACCCACACTTCCCGAGCTTAACTATGAGGATGTTATGGGAGACAGTGTCAAAAGCCTTGCTAAAGTCAAGGTAGACAATGTCCACTGTTCTCCTCTCATCCCCCATGGCGTCACAGAAAGCTATCAGATTTCCCCTTGGTGAATCCATGGTTCACCACTTCCGATGACCGCCTTCTCTTCTACATGCTTGGGGATGACATCCAGGATGAGCTGCTCCATGACCTTTCCAGGGGTAGAGGTGAGATCATCTAACCCACACTTCCCGAGCTTACCTATGAGGATGTTATGGGAGACAGTGTCAAAAGCCTTGCTAAAGTCAAGGTAGACAATGTCCACTGTTCTCCTCTCATCCCCCATGGCGTCACAGAAAGCTATCAGATTTCCCCTTGGTGAAT